TCACTGGTGATTTGCAACTTCAAAAGTAACCTCCTTTCTATTATTTGTGATTTGCAACTTCAAAAGTAACCTCCTTTCTATTATTTGTATATAATGAAATCATTAATGGTACCAACCCAACTTATGCCGTAGTGTGATGCAGTATGGCCTGGATTATGTGCCAGTCTTTCCTACCGTTGAGTTTGTATAATGTAATCGACTTGCACATCACATAACAAGCACAGCTCATACTACGGTTACTCGTATGCCTTCTAATTTGTGCTGCAGGGAACTACTGAAGGCTTCATCGAGGCTCTTCACTCAATTTCAGAGAATTTCGACTCCCTCAAGAACGATGCTTGCGCGAATAAAACCCGTCTGGATGTACAAAAACTTGTCGCAGGGATCCTCGCCAAACAGACTGGTATGTGTACACCTTAGTTAATGTTAGCAGCGTCAGTCTCTCATATTATAAATGAAGACCAAATTGTGATTTGATCGCCCAGTGAAGGTTTTATGTCGAAGATGTAAGTTTCTTTGCCGTTGTGTACGATTCGCATTGGTGTTTCATTGTTGCTAATCTTTCAAAGCCAGTATTTATTTATTTCTGATATCGTCTTTGCTGACATCGGTCATATAGGCGAGAGCGAAGAAGAGTTCATCGCGCAGACATTCGATAAGGACGACACCTATGCGGAGGCGAAGGTCATGTTCCGGAACATGATTCTGAAGGTATGCGTGCATGTGCTCGCATACATTTCAGGCGGAGCTTTGTGTGTCGAGATTTGTTTGTTTTTGTGCAATTATCAAATTCAGATCTGTTTGAATACTGTTTTATCCTTGCAGGGCATGTTCGGCACACCGTCTGTGCAAATCAACGGCGTACCTGTTCAGAAGATTGGGTCAGCCATGAGCCTGGACGAGATCAAGGCTTGTTTCAAGGAGGTTGAGGATATGGCGGGGCCCGCTAAATTCCTATAAGACAGCAATATCGCAATCTCTTTTATATATATTATGTATACCCTAGTTGACAAGAGTAAGAACACAATAAAATGTCTACTGGCTCATTCTTTCATACTGGGGATCAAAGAGCTATACACATGCAACAATTGTATACGAGTTTGAAACAACCTTCTGGAGATTAGAAAGCGACTACACCTATCTTGGGCTATCTCTAGTGCCTGTAGTGATGCGACGAGTCGAAAGGTAAAGGTAACGGATAAAGCGTAGTAGTACAGCCAATACTAGTTTTTCTAGCAGAGCGATCAGAGGTGAGAGGTATCATATTTATTACCATATACAATGTCATGTCAATTTTGATTTGGAAGCGAGTCTAGTCAAACCTCGCATACCCATTAATAAAATATTCCATCGCCGACAAACGTTTCAGCGGAATATTAGTCCCATCAAGTATTCGATTACTTGTCAAGAGAATGAACCTCCTCGTTGTGGTGGCGTGTTATAAGCGTGTACATAGGCAACCTGCTGTCACCACAGGTGCAGGTGTTACAATTATCCTCGATCACAGAAGTCTACAGTTTCCACAGGTTATGTGGCGGTGGAGGAAATTCGGGTAGAGTGTGCGTGGGAAGGGGAGTCTCGCGTGTTTAAGGGGCCTCCTTGCACACACATGTGGGGCAATTGTCCTCGTCCATAACATTCCCGTACTCACAGAAGACAGTACAGACAGGTCCACACTCGGGTTCGCCAGCGTCAAGGCAGATAGCCTCCTCGTACGACTCGCAGAACACTTCGGTACAGGCGGCCACGCCATCACCACCGCACGTGCAAGTGTTGCACCCATCGAAGTAGAACTCACATCCCTCGGCACAGAACTGAGGTGCCTCCTTACACTCGCATGTATCACAACCATTTTCATCAACTACATTACCGTTCTCACAGTACTTCATACACAGTGGCATCTCAGCGCACACATCAACAGGCTCAACAGGCTCTGCACACTCGCACAAGTCGCAACCGTTCTCATCCTTTTTGAAGCCCTCCTTGCAGTACATCATGCACATAATGCCAGAACATTCAAAAGTCTCACTCTCCGCTGGTACGGGGTACAGTTCAAGATCGTCAATACACATGGCATCTTCCATCTCCTCCTCACTACACACCATCTTGGTACAAGCCATATCCCCATTTTCCAAGCACATACACTGATTACAACCGTCGAAGAATGTCTTACAGTCCTCGGGACACTTATCACTAGCCAAAGGCTCGTAAATGTCGCTCTCATACGCTCGTGACGACATGGCGTCGGCCAACTGCAGGCAGGCAAAAGCCGCCACAATAAACGCAACACAGTTCATTATTGAAAATATTTAAAGGAAGAATGAGGGTTTCAAAATCTATGAGCAAGGATATATATATATGCGCGTGCATATTTTGATATTTTTTCACCGTGCGGTTGAAATTGAAAATTCTGCTGGAAAATCGAATATGTGTGCGACACAGAATTTCATTTTCAGTCCAGAATTGTTTGAGAGTGGTCTCACAATTCGAGAATCACAATCAAAAATGAAAAAACTGAAAACAACTCAAAGGAGTATGACTATGATACGGTTAAGGGCGGCGCGAGTGATTGGGCGTGAGCTTGCTGTCCAATAGACGTTTGGTGAGGTATGTGTACCCCGGTACCGCATATGTATACTTCAAATCATTAATATACCAATCACACAGCAGGAAGCAGGTAGACAGACAGTTGCCAGACACACGAGTCCACGACTCACGAGAAGTGACGAAGGCCGAGGCCACATAAGGCAAAACTCACCACACAAAAAAATTGATATGTACACACATACTATAGAATTGTTTTATTTTTATATTTTCCAAAAAAAAGTATTGGATTGGATTTGCTAAATAAACTTCTATTTACAAATATATGTTTGCATGGCCCACTGGATTCTGGAATTGTCTCTCAGAAATGATTTTCGTCCTGCTGGAGAATCCATTCTTCATCCAGCGAAAATTTCAGAGAGAGAGGCCATGATGTTTGTGTCTTTTGGTTATTATATTTTTGTTTTACAATTTTTTTTAAACAAAATATAAAACAAAACTTCAAACAGTACATAGATGAAAAAAAAATTGTTGAGTTTATACTTTATTTATCAATTACACACCAGAAGAGAGAAGGCTATGCAACTTATATGCATATGTGCATAAAAAACCAAAAATATACAATTGTGGTGTTTTTACCATTTCCGGAGTCCGGAGCGCGGTCCGCCTCTGGCATTGTTGCTTGGTCGAGGGCTCAGGCATCAGGGCTCATGGCTCAGGGCTCAAGGCTGAGCCCGATTGCAATTTGTTTACCCCCAACCTCCCCCTCGGCTCCCCCTCCCCCCCGTGTTTTGGGCCCAAAATAAACCGTAAAACAAAGTAGCACATCATGCTTGAAAAAAGTAAAAACATATTTTTCTGGCATATCTGTTTGCTCCGCCACATGGTATCTACCATTCAATAATAGAATTACACGTGTGCTCTCCCTGACATTTCTGCTCTGAAAATGAATCTGAGAAAAAAATTCTCTGGGATTTCAAGAGTTTGAAAATGAGATTGTTCCACAGTTCTCATTGGAAAAATCAATGAAATCAGCCGATCCGTTGCCACATTGCTAATTGCCATGGGGATGTTTCCCTATTTTGTTTAAGAGAATGAGGTCAATTTGAAATCTTCAATCATTCCTTCATTCAACCTATTAATAGGTGATAGTTTGAGCTCCAAGAGTATAGTGGGCATGTTTAAAACCCAAAAATATGAAGGAGCTATGGAGCTTTTATATTTTAGAAATATAATTGAATGTTTTTTTTTAAATTTAGAAGGTTATGCAGGTGTGAACTGTGAGTGTGAAGTATGAAGTTTGTGAACTCACTGAATTGTGACGTGTGAACTGTGTGTTCTTTGAATCTGTGGCTTTTACTGTGCCTGCCTGCCTGGTGATTCTCTGATTCTCGATGATTCTTCGAGCACAGGTCATTGGAGAAAAAAACCCAACTTCAAACTTCAAACTTCAAATTACTAATTAGATTTTTGGGGGGTTTTGTTTTGAAAACAGAGAGAAAACGTCTGACAAACAGGGCCGAAGACCCGAAGCCCGAAGTCTCTCAACAAGAGTATATTTATATTCATTTACACTCTTATTGGAAAACAGAAACAAAATAACAAACTTCACAAGTCTCCAAGTCTCAACTCTCAAGTCTCAACAATCAAGACTCAACTTCTCTAGTGTCAAATGTCAAGTGCCAAGTGTCAACCTCGATTTAAAAAAAATAACATATTTACACTTCATTTTTAAATTAATTCAGTACATAGTACATACTCTCTCTCGCGAAGAATCTGATGACTGATGACTGATAACTGCCGATCAGAGTCTCACAGACTCATATTCTCAGAGTCTCAGACTCTGACAGTCTGACTCACAGTCGGTAAGTCGGCCGAATCATAGTCCTTGCTTCAGTGAGGTTGTTGCTACAGCAACCCATATTTTTTTCGAAAGATTTTTTTGTAAAACAATAGATTGTTTGGTGCTAAATTTATTTGTTTTCTCCTATAAAAATACGAAGGCTATGCAAAATCTTGTGTATTTTTTTTTGGTGTTTTTTTTAACACATCCTCGCATCGAACAGAACTTTTAGAAGATAAAATACCAATAAATACACCCTGTCTGTCTCACAATTACACGCCCATACAGGCGAACTCTTAAACTTTTCAAGTTTGTTCAACATGTTTAGAAGACCTTGTAATTTGGCACCAATACATATCCATATTTGATATATACGTATACATACCATGTGTATATATATATATATATGTATGTATATATATA